TTCAAACAAGTGACCAAGATGAGAGCCAGAAAAAACTTCTGAGAAAGAAAGGGCATTGGAATTACCTGAAAAACAATGATATTTCAGATGATTTTAACAGGATTGGTGGAAGCATCAACATATGTAGAAAAATATCAAGAAAGCTGTAGAGGAAAGCAAGGAGAACACAGAAGAAAACTTTGGAAGAAATCAGGAAAACATTACAAGAACAAACAGACAAAAAAGATGAAATATTAAAGACAATACAAAATCTGCAAATGGAAATCCAGATGTTTACTACTAGGATTTCAGAAATGAATAAAACATTGAAAGGGCAAATTAATAGATTTAAATCATTGGAAGCACAAATCAGTAAGCTTAAGGAAACAACTGTCAATATTAATATGTTAGAAGAACAATCAGAAAAAAAAATTAAAAGATCTTGAAGAAGAATAGCTTACAGAATTCTAGAACAAAAGAAACCCAAAGAAGCACAGAAAAAAAATGTAGAAGAGTTATTGGAAATCTTCAAAACATGTCATAATCAAACTCTACAAAACCAATGACAAGGAAACAGTCCTAAAAGCACTTTGGGGGTGGGGGGGAGGGGAGAATAAAAAGTTGCCTACAAATGAGAACCACTAAGATTAAGCTCTGATTTTTCAGCAGAAACAGTGCTGATAAGAAAGCAATGGTAATATATAAATTAGGGAAGTTAACGGGTTACAATTCAAGATCAGAAATACTCAGTTCTTCAGACAGAATAGTCTCTTCCAGCTATGGCCACAGGCACACCACTCTGATCTTTGCCCTTTCAACCACATGGCCCTTTAGGCTATGCCCTCAGGCAGTGTTACTAAATTCTTTTAGCACTGCCAATAAATATCCAAAGAGCAAACCACTCCACAATAGGCCTTAGCCAAAAAACACTTGACTCCCAGAGTTAAGGGTCAGCAAACCTAATCTTTGCCCTGCCAACAAATGTATGAATGCTCACAATTATTGACTGTTAGAGAGATACAAATCAAAACCATTGAATATTATCTCACCCAAACTTTAACAACAAAGTTCATAAAAGCAGAAAACAACCAAGGATGACAAGGGTGCAGAGAGCCTGGAACCCTCATTCACTCCTTCCACAAGAAGAGTGAGTTGCCAAGGAAAGAGAGTTCTTTTGAAAAACAGAGTATTTACAATATCTCAAAGTCAAATGGCTTCCAATGGTGACTCTGGTTTTCTTTTATATAGATACAGCTGAAAGAAAGAAAGAAACTATTGCAGACAGATTTGTAATAATTCCATCACAGAAAAAAAAAGAAAATAGGAAATATGTGAGCATATATAATCCTATTTAATAGCGTAGTGGTTACGAATCGGGCTGCTAACTTCAACGTCAGCAGTTCAAAACCACCAGTGGTTCCAAGGGAGAAAGATGAGGCATTCTGCTCCCATAAAGGTTTATAGCCTTGGAAACCCTGTGCAGGGTCACTATGAGTCGGAACCGACTCCATGGTACTTAACAACAACATATCCATTTCACAGAACAGAAAAGTAGGACTTAGGGAAAGGAAATCTCACGTATTTCAGATTGAGTTGATAATTATACTACATTTGGTTACACCACATTATCTTTCTGGTCCCTAGCATTACTGTGAAAATTATCTCTGAGGAGTCCATTTTGTAAAACATTTGTGTAATATGTATTTTGTTCCCTGTTTAGCACTTTGTTCCCATCCAGGTTTCTGATGTTTGCACTTTATAGATAAAAGATGATTAATCTGATATGTGAATGAGTGTGAAGGTGTCCTTGCAAATAAATGGATTAGTCTTCCCAGGACTTAGTAAGTTTTTCAATGCTTTAAACTGGACATTTGTGATTGTTTTTCTCAGAAATAACTACAAGTCAATATGGGTTCTCTGCCTTGCCTTAATCTGAGCATTCATATTTATCTGTTTTAGATTTTATTTCTGCATGTATCCTAATACTTTAATGTCTTTCGTCAGCATTCTATAAACAGGATAATTACAACCTTGCTAGTAATGTTCAGAAAATATGAGTTTTCAAGACCTTCATAACTTGCAAGTAATTTCACCCAAGTTTCTGTCCTTTCTATACACAGCTAAGTCTAGCCATACCATCCATTGGTGAAGGATCACCCCACCCACCTGGGAAGACAAATGCTGTGACACCATATGACATCTCTTCTCTGCAAGCTGATGCTTACTTGTTACCCTGAACCCTTATTCCCCAAACCACTCTAGACCTTCTCTCCTCAGCATATGTTTCAAATTTGTTCCCAAAGTTGTCAACAAAGGACTTTCATTAGCCTGTTGCAAATATAGATCCCCAGGGCAACTTGTGCTTCTTCATACAATTGATCCCTCAGTGCATGCAAAAAAGCAGATATACACTGTGTCACTCTGGGTCAAATATAAGCTGGGGGTGAGAAGAAGTGTTCATATTCTTCAGAGATCATCAACCACCTTTTCCTAAGACAGAATGCTCCTCAAAATCCTCCTATTAACTTCTTATTTACTGGCTCTATTTTAAAATTAGTGAAAGAGTAGAGAGAAGCAAATTCCCACTAAACTGATAAGGGGTAGAAGAAACAGAATACTAATTTTTACATCCCTGAAAGTTTGTGTATTTCTGTGAAATGCAGAATAAGATTTGGAAGTAGAGAACATAAAAAACACAATAAATTTTATATTATTTTGCAACTATGTGATCTTAACATTTTTAGCCACCTCTAAAAATATTTAGGATTAAAATTTCAATAATCAAGTGAGGTAGTTTATTCCCTATTTTTAGTTTCATTGATTTTTTACATCTCTGTGGTTGTGAAGCCTGAAATGAATGCAAATGTGAATATTCAACCACTCCCTGAAGATTCCAGGTTGGTAACAAGGAGGACAAAGCCATCTGGGGCACTGTATGCTATTCCCCAATTCCTAATATCAACTACGGGCTGCAATCTACTTTGGGGAGTGGGGACGGGTGGAGTCATATGATCAATTTAGTTAGTTGCTGACAGCATTTGACAAAATATTTAAATACAAAATAAAATAAAATAGAAAATATTATATTATCTTTCATTCAGTAAGGTATGATCTATAAAACTTTTGTTAGATATATTCAAGTATATTGAGAAATTATGTAAAATGCAAAATGCATGATAGTCTAAAACATCTGAAAGCTGTTTCCTTATAAATGTTTATAAACACAATAAATAAAAAAAGATCTTGAAAAAGTAAAAGGACAAACCCAGATAATATGACTTTCTAACCACAGGAGCTCCCAAATGAGGAGAGACTTAGAAATATTCTTAAAAGGCTCAAAGATGAAGACTTTTAGAAAAATTATTGATATCAATAAGACCTACAATGAGACCATTAGATTGGCTATGAAAGGTTATAGTGCCCAATCTCCTACCTGTCCTGTTTCCTAGAATCTAAGTTAAGATGATCTTTTTTTACAAATGACCTTCTTGAGAGCAGAGAAAGGAATCTAGATCCTGATTAACCCTAGAACCAGATTATCACTGAAAACTCTTGAGCATATGGGTTCTTAATATTTTTTAATGAGATAAAAATTAGATTCCCGCATCTATGTATGTTGTTTCTGCTAAGTGCCGTTGAGTTGTTCCTGACTCATAAAGATCCTGTATAGGATTTGCAACAGAGGCTGGTGGGTTTGAACTGCCCAAGTTGTGCTTAACACTCCTACAGCACCACACCAGGGGTCCATATCTACATATAAACAATGATATACACATAGTTCTGTGGAGTCACAGATATAGTTAATCCAATCTAGTAATTAATGGATCCCTGGCTAATAACTACTGATTCAGTATTCTTAAACTCCAAAAACTTTCTTGGAATGGAATCTAATTTTCTTATTCTTGTGGAAAAGCAAAACTCCAGACCTAAGATTCCGAATGAACTTGTGTAAGTAAATGAAAATTATTATTGATTG